TCTTATCTTATCTTTACCACATGTGTGATTGAAACAATAGAAAATATATAATGTTCTTATAATCAGGCAAAAACAAATTTAATAAATTTCAGTTTCATAAACATATTTTCAAGCAAGTTAACAAACATTATTCACAAGTTAGTCATTAGTTTAGATATTTATAAGTTGTTTTCCTAAACCACGGTAATAGTAATAATTGTTACACTGTATATAAATAAAAACAATGTTACGGGGTGGTGGTCTTAAATTCATAATTAAGAATGCTACTCTTACCATGTCATATACATTCAAACGTACTGCTTCGTTTGCCATATTATATTATTCAGTTTTCAAGATGGGTGAATACGTAAACAAACTGTCTCGGTATCTTCTAACAAATAATCTCGCGGGAGTAGACGACCTCTTCCGGTACCGGCGGTCGAACGTCCTTGGTTTCACGATTTGGTGACGATTTCCAACCACCAACACTTCCGGGTATTTCCTTTCAGTTCTAGTCGGCTCTTAAAAATCCACCCCTTTGTTCAAGAAAATGTGTACACAATTTGTTTCAGATAATAGACATAGTGTAGTAATAAATCCTAAAACTGTACAGTGAAAATTCACTAGACTCAGTTTTCTGTTCTCCGACAAGGCAAAACGGTTGACGTTTTTACGTTTATGTCTATGATTCATCACGCATATCAGCTGCGCACAATGACGTCGTTTTCAACTCGGCGACCTCGCTCGAAAAGTCTGTTCGACTAAACATAAAAAGGAGTAATAGACGTAAACCAATCGATTTTGGGGGAAAAAATATTAAAATATATGATATAATTTTTGGTGTCACAAAGAATAAGAGCTATAACTAAGTCTATCTTGCTTATTTTCTTTCGTGTTTTCGAACGAGGTTGACTCATCTCTGCTCGAAGATGGCGCAAGATTCGAACTGCTGTTTGCAGATTTGTTAGTATAAAACAGGTTTGGTGATTCAGTACTTGTACCTCGCATGTCTCAGTTTATATCTTAAATCTATAACAAATCCTATTTTAGCATCTATAAGTGTTGTTTGGCTGCCCGGGAGACTGTTTAGGTGTTGTTTATTTCTGCACATGACTTCCCATCAATACAATGAATATATTTGTGCACGCATGCTTTTGTCAATGGAGTACGTTGTCTGACTTTGTTGTTTCCGTTCTCAGTGGAGTACGTTGTCTGACTTTGTTGTTTCCGTTCTCAAGGTCAATTTTATAGAACAAGATCTAGCCCGAGGGCTCCATACATTGTCGCACCTAAAACAAAAGCCGTTGCCAAACCGGTGATAGAGGGACTTAGAAAAGGACATGGAATTGGCTTGTAATGCCTTATATTGACTCGCATCCTGGTACATGTAGTTCTAGCCCTGAGTACAGTCCTGTAGGTTGGCCTTCTCCCGCTGATCATTCGGCCCCCAC